ATTCTTAAGAACATTCTCATTTAATCCTCACAGCACGTAAGAGGGGAGCTTGTCCTCATTTTTTAAAAATTTATTTTAGAGAGAGCAAGAGAATGAGAGTGAGAACGGGCAGAGGAGCAGAGGGAGAGAGAGAATCCCAAGCAGACACTGCACTGAATGTGGAGCCTGACGCAGGGCTCGATCTCACAACCCTGAGATCATGACCTGAGCTGAAATCAAGAGTCAGACGCTCAACTGACTGAGCCACTCAGGTGCCCCAAGCATTGTCCTCATTTTGAAGGGACACAGGCTCATAGTCTGCTCACACCAGATCTTACTACTGATCATAAGAGGAAGGACATTACAAAGCTTCAGGGTGCTTCCAAAGCTCTGCAGTCACGGTCTTTGTTTCCTTATGCATCAAAGGGAGGGCGATGGAAGTGAAGAGGACTCATGCCTATGGAGCATTTACTATCTGCCACATTCTGTTATTGGGCACTGTTGTGGTTCTCGTGTTACAGATAAGGAAACTGAGACACAGAAGGGTTAAGTGACTTGCCCAGGGACACACAGCTGGTGAGGATGGGAGCACAGTTTTGCTCCAGCCCTCTGCCTTTGCAGAGACCGAAAGGGGACAGTCGCATAAAGTGCTTAGCTCAGGGCCGGCTGCCTAGTAAGTGCTCAGTAAGAGCTCAGTCTCCTGGTATAATTATCATTACTGGCCCTTCCTCTCTGTCGGTGGTTCTTTGAGGCTTCTTGTTCTTCCTTTTATCCCTAAGCTCCATCCTCTCCTCAACAGCTGGGCCAGAGTGTGACCGGTGTCCACGGACATGTCCATTCTCTGGGGTACCCACACTGCCGTGCTCTGTCCTTAGTGTCTGAGCTGCACTTTTAGTGGGTGACTTCCTGGCACAGAGCCAGAGGGTGGCCTCTAGCTAAATGTCACCCGGCTTTGATGGCACTGCCTTAGGAATGCAGTACGCTTTCTGAGAACCTAGGAAAATATGCGACCTCTAATTCTGTCATCCAAACTAGGGACAGTTTCCACAGCAGAAACTGGGACCCTTTGAGTCTGCAACATAACGTTTCCATCCACACACATGCTCACTGTTGCTGAGTCTTTACGTTCACGTTCATTTCTGAGGCACTTGGTTTCATGTTTTCTGAGAGCAGGCGCCGACAATTGGGAGACCAATGCCCACGGTCCCCCTGCACCCGGTGGAGTGTGGGCCGATCCCGGTCCCCCGGCTGTATCTGGTCAAGACAGGACCCTGGTTTTAGTCGTAGAATTGAAATGACTCACGCCAAGCTTTCTGAGCGCTGGACTTCACGTAGTGAGAACCCCTCCCTTTGGACAGGACAGGATCATCTGTGACACGCATTCCTGTCTCCCGTCTCCTTGAGCAATAGGGTCCACACTGCAGATGAGGAAGCTGAGGCTCTGGTGGGGAAACTGGCCAGGAAGCGGGATGGTTCTGGTCCCCTGGGCATGGTGGCCGCTCTCTGACTTCCCATCAGGCCTTCTTACCCCCGACTCAGTGCCTCTCTCTTTCTCTCCCCCCCTTTCCAGGTCCCTCCTGGCCCGGAATCAGAGGACCAGCTCTGGTGGGGTGCCATCTGGGAGCCTGTGCGGGAAATTGCTGTACTGGTGAGGTGGGCGTGGGAGACCGAGCCCAGCTGACCAGAGACCCCGTTTTCTTCCAGACTGAGGGGGCAGGCGGCGGGGCCTCCCCACCTGCCCCGCAGAAGATGCAGTTTTTCGGCCGCCTGGTGAATACCCTCAGTAGCGTCAGCAACTTGTTCTCAAACCCGTTCCGGGTGAAGGAGGTGGCTGTGGCAGACTACACCTCGAATGGCTGGGTTCGGGAGGAAGGGCAGCTGATTCTGTTCCAGAACATTCCCAATCGCACCTGGGACTGCATCCTGGTCAACCCCAGGAACTCACAGAGTGGATTCCGGTGGGTGATGGTCAACTGCCACACATACTTCTCTCCTTTGACTCCTCAGACTGGTGGTCCCTTGGCCAAAAAGCAGCTTCTTTGGGCCTGACATCTGAGGGCTCTGGAGAAGGGTGGGAGAGGGTGGGGAGAGGGATCTCCTAGGGCCCTCCTACACCTTCTGGCCCATCAGGGTCCCCGCAGCGGGGGTGTGAGGTTAGAAGGCGGGGCTTTTCCCTGCCTCCAGGCTGGCACCCATGCAGTTGGAGGGAAGGAGGAAGGACAGGAAAGCTGAGAAGGGTCAAATCAGGTAAAGTCCAGGGTTCACCTGTAGCCCTGGGTCTTTAAAGGCATGACTGCCTTGTAGGGGACGATCACGGTTTGTTCAGGAGAGTATAAGGGGTGGTTGTTCAGGAGAGTACAAGGGGTGGACAGCGGTCACTCTTCAGGGCATGTGGGGTCTCCCATGGGAGCTACAAGGAAAGGGTAGGAAGCCAGGACAGGGCTGAAGGAGCTGAGCCAGCTGCAGGGCTGGTTGGCATAAGGGGAGAGGAGTGGCCAGGCATCCAAAATGCAGGGTCCAGAGGAGCTTGGCAGACTGGCCCTGAGTTGGGCTAGTGCTGATGGGCCTTTTTCCGTTCGTTCATCCATCTGGCCATCCCGCCATCCTTCCCTTCACTGGGCACTGGGCATCTGCAGTGGCTCGGGAGTCCCAGGCCCTGGGCCAGGCCTAGCTGGCACTGTGAAATGACAAGACATGCTCCGCGCCCGTATGTGCAGTCGTGGGTGGAGGCCACATGCCAGGCAGGCATTGTACCAACCGTGTGAGGAGAGCTGTGGGTAGAAGTGGACAGTGGGGACACAAGGAGGTGATCCCTTCCTGGTGAGCTCCTCTGAGCCTAGAATGAGTAGGAATGTGTCTGGCAGAGGAGAGTGGATAAGGTCGTTCTAGACATGCAGAGGCATGGGTGGGAGGTGAGGGGGCGCCCATAGGCTGATGGCCCTGGGCCGGATCCCTGGTGTGTGCAGAGCTTTGGCAAGCATTGAGGCCAGAGGGAACCTCTGGACTCATTCTGATTGAGGAGGCACGGCAACAGGAGTCTCAGAAAGTGGCAAGCTGGGAGTCAGGGTCCAGGCAACAGGAGGAGAGCAGAGGAGGCTGGCCATTCGGGAGAATTCAGGTCTGGTTCCACAGGGAAACTGAGGCAGAGGCCCCCACAGCAGGTGGTTGGGCAAAGAACACAGCTCAGCAGCCAGTCTGGACACCAGTTTTAACGTGGCAGAGCTAGTCCCACACTCTGGGCGCAGATGTCTGAACTGATGGCCATCCCGCTGGCCTGGGTCAGGACAGGGCAGGCTTCCACCTGCGGCTCCGGAACCCCTCCACAGGCCCGCAGCTGAGGGCCGCTGATGGAATGCACAGCCGAGCAGGGCGGTGGGTCCAGTCTTCGGAGGACCACTCAGCCTTACTTTCCAGGTGCCGCCCTGGGGGCTCCACCACCCTGCCATCACCAAGTCCTGTCAGCTGTAAATGTCCCTTGACAGGACTCCAGATCTGTCCCAGAAAGCTCGAGCCCCACTGTGGGCAGACTTCCATCCCAGGGAGGTAAACTCTTTGCCAGCAGTTTATTAACTACATGTTTATTTATTACCCTTAATGGGGGGCACTTTATAGTACTTTCACATATGGTATATTAGCACATCCTCAGTGACCCGTTGAGGTAAACAAGGAAGGCAGTATCCCATTTTACAGATAAGAAAACTGAGGCTCAGGAAGATAAGTGAGTCATTCAAGGTTGCACAGGAAGCAGCGAAGAAACAGAATCTGTGTCTTCTGGCTCCTAAGCCATTTCTCTTTTCTGTGCCACTGCATGTTTCCATGTGTTTGGACAGAATAGGGAGCATTGGGTGGGGTTTCAAGCCAAGCATATATCCCCTCTCGGAATTCCTGACATCCCTCACTTGGCTCTGGACTCTTGTCTCTTCTTCTAACCTGCTCCTGCCCAAGCATTTCCATTTCAGTAGATGGCATCACCATCCCTGTACGTGGTTGTGCAGCCCAGAAGCCCAGGAGTGATCCTTGATCCCTTGGGCTCTCCCCGCCCCCCCAGATCCGGGTCATTACTGAGTTCTGTCACGCTCCCCTGCCAAGCATATCTTGAGTCTGCTGCTGCTTCTCCATCAATTATGTTTAACTTTGGCTTGAATGACAACCACAGCAGATAGTGGTCCCCAGGGGCCCCCAGTCCCCAGGGGCCCAGGCTCTTGCTGTCTTGTTGCTCCACCAAGTGTGGCCTTCATTCTCTAGGCTACCACATGGTCCCAGGTGGCCATGCCAGATCCAGCCATCACAGCCACCTTTCCAGTCAGCAGAAAGGTAGAAGAGCAGGGTGAACAAGGGCACTCTCCTCCTTTCCAGGGGCTTCTCAGAAGTGGCACACATGCCTTCCACCTGAATCCCATTGGCCGCTACTTGGTCACATGGCCACAACTAGTTGCAAGGGAGACTGGGAAGTGTAGCCTGCATTGCAGCCACGTGCCAGTCCTGAATCCAGGCTTCTGTTATTCTCCATTTTGCTGCTGGCTCTCTTTCCAGGCTGTGGTCGTTGTATACACAGACTCCAGCTTCACTCTGCCTCCCAGCCTGTTGCTCTGCCTGTGGTCTGGTTGCTCTCCTCCCCTCCTCTTCCAAGCTGCTGTCAGAGTGATCTTTCCAGAAGACAAATCCGATCACTCACTCCCCTGCTTCACTCTCAAGAAGTCCCTTTTTCCTTAACATATCAGCTGCTTAGCTTGGCTTGAAAGGGCCAGTGTGATCAGGCCTTGCTTCTCCCTCTGGTCTCAGCTGTTGCCCCCTGTGCTCCTGGCCTTCGCCTAGACTCTTACGTCGTCAGCCTAGAACATTCCCCCCTTCTTTGCCTGCCTTACTTCTGCTCGCCCTTCTGGCTAGAGTAGGTGCTCATGCTGCGTGTCCCATAGCACTCCATCCCCGCGCTCGGTAGACCGTCTTCCTGGTAGGCCACGAACCCCACGAGGGTAGTGGCTGTGTCTGTCTTGTTCGCCCCAGTACAACCCCCAGCACCCAGCAAAGAGCCTGGCACACGTAGGTTTGTGCGATGCATGTGATATTCTTGAAGCTTCAGCAGTATTTGTGGAGGGCCACTGTGCGCCGTGTCCTCTGTTGGGACTGGGGACTATTGGATTCAGGGCAGTCGAGGGGGTGGGCTGGGAAGCAGGAGGGGAGGTTATGAAGAGCTGCAGAAACGGCAATGCCAAGGCCTGGGGTGTGACCTCGGAGTAAGGGCCAGGGCCCTGGGCTTCTCCTAAGGGCAGCAATCCTGGGGTCTCCCCACTGCTCCCAGCCCTTTGCAGTTTCTAGAAGGAAGGTATGGTTTACTAGACTTCTTCCTCAGGCCGCTGTGGTTCTGTGTTTTTTTTTTTTTTAAGGTTTTATTTACTTATTTGATAGAGAAAGCACAAGCAGGGGAAGTGGCGGGCAGAGGGAGAGGGAGAAACAGGCTCCCCGCTAAGCAGGGAGCCTGATGTGGGGCTCAATTCCAGGACCCTGGGATCATGACCCCAGCCAAAGGCAGACACTTCACTGACTGAGCCACCCAGGTGCCCCCCACCCTTTTCTTAAAGATTTTATTTATTAGAGAGAGTGAGAGTGAGCGAATGAGCGAGCATGAGCTGGGAGAGAGGGAGAAGGAGAAGCAGACGCCCCACTGAGCAGGGAGCTGATGTGGGACTCGATCCCAGGACCCCAGGATCATGACCTGAGCCCAAGGCAGACACTTAACTGACTGAGCCACCCAGGCGCCGCCCCTCCTTTTTTTT